AGGACTCTTTTTTTGTGTCCCGCAAGAAAACCTGGCGTAAATTTTCTTCGGAATTTCACTCATTCTTTGTATTTATCACTTCCATCTCTGTCTCTGTTTGTTTGCACCCCCTCTCTCTTTCTCTCTCTCTCCATTAAGTTAACCGTTTAAATGTGTCAATATCTGCTAACTCACTCATGTCTTCTCTCTCTCTCTCCCCTCACTTCCTCACTTCGTTAATTTACATATGTTTAATACGGCCCGTCAAAAATGTGTAAATTTTCTTTTCATTTTTTGTTTGGCTGTGGTGAAATAATTTATTACATGGAACCTTAAAGTAGTCTGTTTTTATTTAAATTATTTGCTCTGGATTTACATTGAGCTCTCTGGATTTTATTTTCCTTAGGTTTACCCATACGGATTACCTAGTTTTTCATAAACTATATATATATATATATATATATATATATATATATATATATATATATATATATATATATATATCTTGAACTTTCACCCACTAAGAACCTCCTGGTGAAACAAAACTCAAATAGCACTTTTTTATATATAATAGCTGGCCACTCGTATTCGAGCATAGCCGTCTGCTGGGGCGGCTAGCCAATCCTTATTGCAGACGCTCGCTCAGACACATTTTATGTTTGCTGTGGTTCATATTGCAACTACGCTCAGAAGACCTTAGTTACAGTTTCTGGGAAAGAGCGTATTATCTCGCGTGATCAATAATTTGAACTCGGCTCTCCGATTCCTTAATCCAATGTACCTCCTCTGATGTTTCTACTGTTTCTTAATACCTTGCTTAGCTTTTCGAAGGCATTTTTCCCTAAGCCAGTGCTCCGTCGGATTTCGATGTCGCATTTTCCGTCTTTTGTCAAAACACTTCCAAGATATTTAAATTGTTGTCCTTGTTTGAGTTTGGTATCTCCAATTCGCAATGTTTAACGCTTCTTCTTACTGACAACCATATATTCTGTCTTCTTACAAATTCAGACATGGATGTGCATGTACAGGGATGCGATGGATAAAAGTGTCGTCTAAATGGCACAAAAATGAAAATAACACCGATTTTAACCGATATACAAGTAGTCGTCGACTTACGACGGCGTTTGGTTCCGACGGACCCGACGTAAGACGGCTTGGTCGTAAGTCGCACAATGTTAAATTACCGTGCATATAGTATGGTGTGTCATGATGCTGTGTCATAATAATAATAATAATAATAATATTTTTTTTATTTAACTCTTCTTTCTCACCCTCTTTTCATTTACTCTTTTCTGTGCCTCTCTTTCTTCTCTTTCTCTTGTCACTTTTTGTTTTCTTCTTCTCTCTCATTCTCTTTATCCTTTTAATATCTATTATCGGAAAGAGATAAGACTTTCTTAAACTCGGTTAGTTTTGTCAGAATCGTCTGTTTTTCTTCTCAACATAAATTACGCAATATGGACTAATCGCTTCATGTATTATCCGTTCAATGCTTGAAAATCGTTCAAGGTTTGGGTTCATTATTCCAAATTTTACAACGACTTTATTGAGTTGTTGGTATCCGCTTTTGAATTTGGTCTTCGATCGAAAGGTGAAGTAATGTTACCATTTCATGGATAGGTCCGGTACTTTTCTTCGTAATAACGGTAGAACACATGGGGGCCGAACCTTTCACAACTTCACGGATCCTTTCTTTATCCTTAAGAATCGTCGACACATTTGACTCATGGAAGCACTGCCTCCTCAATGCACTTGATGTAGAACTCCATGTTGAGTCTGATGCCCTCATCAACAAATTCGGGAGCTCTTTTCTCATCAGAACAAATTTTCCAAGCTGCCGTACATTCGCAATCACCATTGGACTCCGCCAACTCATTCCGAATCCTCTGCACTCAGATCGACACCCAAACAATTTGAAATTTTTGTATTGGAGCTTCCGGCGCGAATTGCATCATGGTCGTTTTTTTTCTCACAGTCGGTGCCCAACTGACCCTATAATACCGTGCAGTCGACAAAATCAAAAGCAAACAACGCACATGCTATATACATACCTATATATATATATATATATAGATATATATTCACACCTTTCCCAAGGGTATTAGCACGTAAGTAAATGTAATGGATTCGAATGAAATTCGAACTCGGCTCTCCGATTCCTCAATCCAAGCCGCTATCCATTACTCCACCGTGCCTCTTCTTCTCCCTTCCGCTATGGGTAAATAGCAGGACAGACTGGGTTCTATAGCCTTGGATGGCAACTGGTCTAGGAGAAGGACAACTCTGAATTCAAAACCTGCGGAGGGTCGTTTGGGGACCTTGTGGCACGTAGTGCACCAGGTCTCTGTATTCGGCCCTTCAAAAAGTGTGGATGGTCCTGCACGAAACCTTCACCAATATAACCAAATCTCATGTGCTGTTGTCGGGCTGTCGGTTTCCTGCGAACTGATCTGATTGACCCTCATACGTCGAATTTGACGGAGAGTCGAGTATATATATATATATATATATATATATATAT